GAGGACTTGTCCAAAGAAAGGCATGGTCATTCGAGGGCTCAGGCAGAACTGCAAGTGGGCCAAGATCGAATCAAAGAATTGGAGGAACAGCTGAGCCTTCTGCAAAGAGACTACGATGAAAGGTTCCAGACCTTTGATTCTCAGAAGGTGCGGAAGTGTTCAAGTTTAATGCTCTAAGTCTCATTCGCATGTGCGATGCATGTGATTGAGTGTTCATGTTTTGAAGCACAGGGGCGCTTTACGACCAAACTGTGGCTGACACATGCAATGTACGAGACCATAAGTGCAACTGACTTACCAATCAAGAAGTGCAATTCTGTCAGGAACCATTTATATAAACACATCAACGCTCTGTTTGCGTTTAGTAGCTTACTGGAGACAGGTGCAACAGCCAACAGTCACCTTGTGGACCTCTCTTCCTTTGTGTGTAGCTTCCATGATCGAAACTTGCAGGTTGTTGCTCATGACTCGTGACCTTATCAGGTGGAAGCTTTGGCCGGTCCAGCAGTATCCATGGAGCAGCAGCAAAAGATGATTGACTTGGAGGTGGAAAACTCACGGCTGCAAGAGGACTTGTCCAAAGAAAGGCATGGTCATTCGATCGCTCAGGCAGAGCTGCAGGCCGGCACTGACCAATCACAAGGTGACCAAAGGGGTCGATTAAGACTGCCCCATGTGTGTTCAGGTTATTGAGCAAATGCATGCTAGAAAATCTAGAAAGCATGTCATGAGTTTAGTTTTTGGAGGCTTTGAACTTTGAACGTTTCGGCCCTTCGGTTTGACCACACTTTGAGAGGCTCGAATCGAGCAGTTGATGTTGGAGATGCTGCAACTGTTTCTTGGCAAAACAGATGTTCAGATGTTCATTGATGCTGGTGATGGCACCCGACACCTGTGGCCTTTCTCGAAGAACCGCTTGAATGGCCGAGGCGCCAGGTTCGAAGCTCAGTGCGTGTCGGGCCGCTCGGGCCTTGGGGACGTGACCACATTTGACTGAGGAGCGTGTGGCGGAGCAGTTGGTCGACAGGGCCATGGAGGATGCCAAGGAGCCAAGTTGGGCCAATTGCAGAGTTCAACGAAACCAGAAGAACAAAAGCGGAAATGGTGAGTGTCTTTTGGACACCGTTGCTGTGCTGTTTCATTCCTGAGACGTCATCCATTCATGTGGCTGGAAGCAGCATGTGTCCAAACTCCGCTTGTTGCAGGATGAGCTCAAACACCAGGCGAATAGAGTTGATCTTTCTGCGGCTGTGGGCTAGAGGGCCACACTTGGTTGTTTTGGCTGGCACAAGAATCAAGTGACGGAAAAGGCTAGCTGAGAGTCTCGGCCAAACGGACACTTCACCAAAATCGGATCGGTGCCCTCCTCCTGCTGAGTTCTTCTTTGCGTTAGCGAGGCCATCCAGATGAATGGCAGCCCAAAGGCGCATGACTGGAGATGGCTTGAAGAACCCTTTTAGTTGCATTTGCACTAGCAAGGACGCTACTAGGGGCTCCAGGCCTTACTGCTAGGAGCAAGGACGCTACTGGGGGCTCCTGGCATCGCTACTAGGAGCAAGGACGCTACCAGGTACATTTGCAGTGGTTTTCAACACTCGTGTTGCAGAAGCTTGGTGAGCACAGAGTCGGTGAAGCACAGGTTGGCTGTCTGTCGGACGTGCCGCATCTTGGCATGGCAAGACGCATCCCCTTTTGATTTATTTTGCAGGTGCAAGGCCCAAGAATCAATGATAATCAATGCAAGAGTTCACGCGCGTGATCCTTTGAGCTTGAGGGTTGTGAACTTTGTGGGTAAGCTTCCAGCACGGCTCAATGATTTGAACAACTCAGAGAACTGGAAGGTTTTCATGTGGACTTGACACAACACACAGGAAAGCTTCGAGTTGCACAAGCTCTCCGAGCAAAGCCAAGCCAGAGCTTGCAGAGTTTCTTTTCTGACGTTCTTTATCTTTTTTGCAGGCTTGGAGGCGTGTGGTCGTGATGCAGCGTTCCTCTTGTGCAGCGTTCCTCTTGTGCCAAATCACTTAGGTTGCTTGCAGTCGTTTCCCAGCTGCATTGGTGACTTCATGAGTTGAATGTTCTTCGTCCCTGTACTCCGACCCATCTCATAGTGACATAGTGCAAGCGTGTTAAGGACAGCCCGGGCATTTACGCCTCTCAGCTCGTGTATTGCTGACGATTCCGTGGGCGCATTTGGGCCGGACAGTTGGTCAGCTAGACACTGAGGTGGTGTCCCAACTCGTGAGCTTGACGGTTGGCCCTGAGAAAGGCTCACCGAAGTTGCAAATGATCAGCGTGAGGGCCTCTGTTTTGGGAATTTGGTCGAAAAAAGATGGGCGGTTTGGCTCGGGGTTTCCTGGACCTTGGGTATTGGGGGCTTCTACAACGCAACTCTATGTCAAGGTCGGCACCACTGTGCAGGTCCTAGAGGTGCTCCACAGGCAGGGGCGATTGGTCGTTCTCTTTCTTGTTCATTTGGGCCTGGCCAGGCCAGAAGATCGGAGAGTGCGTGGTAGGTCGGGTGCTGAGCGTCTCATGGCTGAGATCGGGTGTGTCGGGTGATGTGTTGGGTGTTTGCAGGATTGAGGAGCCGGCCGGGTGGATCTCCATTGTGAGCACGGAGGATGTGGGGGTACTTCCTGACAGACAAGCTGAGTGTCTCATGGAAGTTTCATCCCTTTCACACCTGCAAAGGTGGACCCCCCAGAAAGCACTTGGCAGGATTCCAACCGCTGGGCTGGCCGTGATCTTCAACGGAGCAATTCTTGGGCCTGCATGCGCTTGGAGCAGCTGCAGCGCCTCCAACGAGAACTGGAAGTCTTGGAAGCCTCGAAGCTGGAAGCCGCCGAGGCTGCCGGAGCTGCACAGCAGAGCTGTGATTTGGAGCTCTCCCAGAGCCGGCAACAGCTGGAAGCTGCGCGGGCGGAGGCAGCCGAGGATCTGGGACGCCGGGAGCGGGAGTTGCATGAGCTAAGGGAAAGACTCCGGAGCTTGGAGCTGCAATTGCACCAGGCGCAGCTGCAATGTGATGGCCCCGGGGTCTACATCTTGGCCGGTGAGGTGGATGTCACCGAGGCTGTGGGGCGAGGATCTACCAAGGTGGGTCGGCTACAGCCCGGGCAGGAAGTGCATGTGTTGGAGGTGGTGCAGAAGGAGCAGGATCGACGGGTCCGCGCTCGGATCCAGCAGCCTGCTGGGTGGATCTCACTGCTCGACACCTCCGAAGGGCACCGCTGGGCCCATCGGCAGCTGGCAGCAACGAATGAATGGATTAGCCACTTGGAATGCCCTTTCAATGTCTTTGTGTAGCTAGGGCCAACTGGGCTCTCACAAGGCCAACTGGGTGAGGTGTAGAGTGTAGGGACCAATTTTTCACCAGGCTTGGGACACACACACACACACACAGACAAAGGCACTGTAAGGCCTTGCTCTGTGTCTCAGTCATACCTTTTGGTCCGAATCAGACGTCGACCGTCACTGCAGGTGAGCTGAGCTCCGGTGGAGAGCTCGAGTTAAAGGCGCGCCTCGCGGCCCTCGAGGCAGGTGCGACCGCCACACCACATTCACCACTCACAGGGCCGAGAACACTGCCGCAGACCCCGTGGTGTGTAGTGTTTGCAGGCAGGTGAGTGAATCAGTTCTTTGTTGTTGGTACACTTGATGGCTTCATGTCATGTGTTAGATGGTAGGTCTGATTGATGATTTCATTAAAAGACAGGCTCAAACCACTCTCTGTCCCTCTCTGTCTCTCTCTCTCTCCCTCCCTTTCTGGGTGGTGTTCCACTTCTGGCTGCGGAGGTGGAGCGGTCCAGACAGTGGTTTTGACTGAAGGGGCCCTGCTTCGGACGAAACATGGTCTTCAGGACGGGTGATATGAATCGATATGACCTGTCCAAGCCGTCTTAGAGTTGAGGGACACCGGTCTTTGATATCGAAGTCTGGTGGTGTCCGGGGAATCTCCTCTCTCCCTCTCTCTCATTTCTATTTTTCCGGCTTCTCGGGCCAACAGATTCGGTAGGGGATGGAGAAGCTTTTACCATATGACTATATGACTATATGCCCTTGTTCCTCACTGTATGGTTTGAGAAACCACCAAGCTTCTAAGTGATCGAGCTGGGACTTGTCTCTGTCGCGTTTTGCGCCTGTATCAAGATGATGGGCGACACGAAATGCAACATTGGGCAGACATTCAAGAAGTTGCCGTCAAGAATGCACGAACATGCTCCACGCAATGCCACGCAAATTGCAACACAAGAATCACACAATTAGACGGTATTTCTGTGTATCCTACCGAATCAGGTCCAGTGCATCCCAGCTACACCTGAAGGGGTGGCTTGAAGTTCGAAGCCCAAAGCCAATCAGTTGCGAGCGTGGTCAGAAGCGCTGGACCACCGTTAGATCCCGCTCTGCCATGCTCTGCTCCGCCACGCCCTGGCGCGACGCGGACTTGCCGGCCGCGGCGGAGGGTGCGGAGGCCCCGGTGGTGCCGTGGCCCGAGGAGGAGCTGCAACGGCGGGTGGAGGAGTGCGTCTCGGAGCGGCTGAGGCAGGGATGAAGGGTGAGTTGGGTGTTTTCGTGAGGTTCATGATGCTTTTCATGCCTCTAGGATTGGAAGTGATTCGGGTCCCATCAAGTATGTAAGAGAGGACAGGCTTGTGCTGGGCTCATGGCTAAGCACCAAGCAGCCGAACTTAGTCACATGGACCGCCCCTGCAGCAAAGCCATGTTTGCTGGCCAGGGATCTAGAACAGCGGCTGGCTTTGTTGGAGCAAGATGCAAGGACCAAGGATGCCCGAGTGGAAGGTGGGGGTGTTGGAATCTCTTTGACTCTTACGCATCGAAATGCTGTGGAAGGACTGTAATGGCCTAACTGACCAAGCTGAACTCCACCATGTACCAATGGTATGGCTGTAGCCGTGTGCTCTCTCTAGTCCCGCCTGGCATGTGACACCAGTGATTGGAGGGGACCACATGCGAACACTCAAATAGAAACAATAAGCTACTAGGAACAAGTGCATCGCTACTAGCAACAAGTGCCTTACTAATAGTAACAAGAAGCTAGTAGAAACAAGTTTTGTTCGTAGCGTCAGACGGCAAGACCTCAGGCGAGCTGAGGAGTTCCGTGCTGCGGGCTTCGGAAGCCTTTCTGTCGGTGCAGCCGCCTCCTCCAGCTATGCAGCTGCAATGTGTGGGAAGTCGGTACCACATGGGATATGCAGATCATTGGATAGACAGATTCATTAGACAAGAATGAGACTTCCAACGGCAGGTTCAGCTGCTGTATATAATTGCTCATTGTTTGTTGGCCAAGCCATTGATTTTACAGCAATTTACTTTCAATAGTGCACTAGAAGTGGTTATATAGTCCGTTGGTGTGGCAAAATCTTCCAGACCTGCCGTAGCTCCATGCTGCCAAGCAAGGTGCCTCGCTTGCCTTTCAGTCGGCATGAGCAGCTTGAACTCTCCACGGCACCAGAGAAGACTGTGGACGAGAAGGGATGCGCAGCTGAGTACAGGTTTGAAGCCTGCGTGTGGGATTCCAGTGTGCTGGTGGGCCTTGGGGTTCTGTCATGGCAGGAGAGCCTTTCAGTGGTGCTGTGTGGACTTTGGTCGGTGTTGGTGGAGGGCTTTTTCGTACTCATCCTGTGCGACAACATGACGGACACCGTCTTTGAGGATTCCCTGGCGCAGGAGATGAAGGAGTGGCGGGTGCAGTTTGGTTTGCGCCTTAGTAACGTAGCCTGTAAGAAGCCAAGATGCAACAAGAGTTGGAAAGACCTCTCGCCTCTCAAACTGTCCAAAGGCAAAACGACTTCTTCACACTCTCATCAAAACTCTTGGCTCAAATCCCGAAGAGAGAGAGAGAGAGAGAGATAGATATATAGATATTTACATATAATCTTGGGGGGTTGGGAAGCGACCAACCCCCGGTAAGCTGCTAAGAGTCTTGAGGTGGTCCTTGTTGCTGATTGATATCTTCGTGTGTTGTGCTTGTGCTGAGGTCAGAACCTCAACTATGTCGATGCCGCGACCGGGCAGCCGCTGATCATGGGCGTTTGTTCGATGTCCAACTCCTTGTTGAATGGGGTTGTCCAGGCAGAGATCTACGAGACCATGTTCAAGTATGGCATCCGAGAAGCGGGCAATGAGGACCTCAGGTGCATTGGAAGGAGACACACACACACAATATATATATATATATGTTTAGGATTGTTTAACTATTCTAGGTGCAGCGGTAGTGTGGTTTTGGGGCATTTTCCATTTCTCGTTTGAGAGAGGGACACACAGCGGAGGTGGCCGCTGCTCCCTGTGGGTGCCTGGCTTGCATTGATTGCCCTGCTGGTCTGGATTTTCACAGTGATCAAGGACATCCTGGTGCACGGAAGCATCAAATCAAACCAAGACTTAGCTTAGCATTTGTCAGGCCGTAAGGATGTATCCAAAACCTTTCGTGTTGCCCTAGTTGCCATGGGCCATGGACAAGATCCATCCTTTCAAATCCTTTCAGTGATAGCTGTGAACGACATGTGTGTCACACCTCACGTGTATGTACAGTAATCAAAGCACATGTGTATTTCCACACGCGCACGCTGGCCGATATACAGATTGTTTGTGTGGTGCGTGCGTTTGTAACTTTCATCCGAAGTTCCACCGTTCTATCGAGTCGACGCCGCAGCGCCGTTGGGAGGACATGCTTTGCGCCTTCAGCTTTGGCATCGCTTTGACTTCCTTGCCGAGTGGGGACACGACACATCGCTCCGGCCAGACTCTGCTGTCCGGCGTGAGCCGCTTGCGGATGCTCCTGCTCTTCGTGTTGAACATTTTACCACGCTTGTGCATTGCCCTTGTGAGATCCTTACCATCGATGTTGGTTGTGCCTAGTTGAAGTCATTTGTGGCTGCTGGATAGAGTGTTTGGAATGAGATTCACCTTTCATGCCTTGTATTCAGGTTCTTGGAATCATTGGGGTGCACTTTCTGGCGAGCACCACTTCTGTATCGGACCTCATCCTGAAGCCTGGCATTGCTTCTTTCAATTCCTAGAATTCCTTCCATTTTTTAATAAGAACACTTCTTTTCCCGTTGTGCTCGGCGCTCTTCTTCACCTTCTTTCCAAGGAACGCCGTGGCTTTGGAAGTCGTCCTATGCATCGACGATCTTTTCTTTGCGGTGCTCGTGCCGCGGCGCGTGCATGAGACGGTCAAGTCGCTCAAGCCTCTTCCGGCGCCTTGGAACGGTGGTGGGTGGATACGGCCTGGGGAAACGACCATGCGTGTCAGAACGGTTGGGCACTGGACGAGGAGAATGTGAAGGTTGTTCGAAGTGGTTGGAAGGAAGAACTTCTTGTCCTGTTACTGTTTGTCACGCACCTTTCGCCGCAAACTCCGAGGTCACCCTGCGGACGCCCTTCCTGCACGCCCGGCAGGGCTTGATCTTCATGCTCTCTTTGGCCAGCTTGGCGGCTGCGCATGTGGTGTATTTGCAGCCGGTGGTCGACAATATGCAGATGACAGCGGACGCCCTGTGCGCGGGAGTCACCAACTTCACTACGTTTCAGGATGCCGCAGGCTTGGTCTTCCTGTTGGATGGTCCAGCTCCCCCTGCCGATGACCACAGCAGCTATGCGTACCGTGCTGTGCTGCAAGCGACTGGCCTTGAGGAAGTTCATCCTGAGCCCTTGGCTGCTCGGGTGCAGAATGCCGCACTTCGGGGCTTGGCGATGCAGCTGAAGTCGATGACCTTCGAGGAGCGCAACGAGTTTTGGCCATTGTGCAGGGACATGGACAGCGAGGTCTATGAGGGATTTGGCTTGATGCACATGAGGTCAGCCACTGCAGAGAACCTGAACAGACTATTTCCTGATGCCGACCTGGCCGGCCTTGAAAGAAGCTGCTGGTCTTTCAGACGCTCTGCTGCATTGATGGTCGTTCAAATATCTCCCGCATTCTTGCTGAGATTGCCAGAGCAAGTTGCATGCTCAGGGATGATCTTGTCATTCAGGGTGCATGTCGGAACGTTCACCGTTGAAGATGCAGCACTCTTCCGCCATAGGTTTCAGCATAAACTGCCTCATCCATACGACCCTGAAGGAAACTATTGCTTCAATGGCACTTTACCCTTGCAGAGCCTTTGGCATTTGCGAGCCCTGTGCCCGGTGACCTGTGGCTGTGCCAGCTTGGAGGGAAGCTTCGTTGCAAATCTTCCTTCCTTTGGCTGCCCCCAGGTCGCGACCACGATCTTCGAGTCGCTCAGTGTTTCATCCACCTCAACTACCAGAGTCCTGAAAACATTGGTATAGCTGCCCGAGAACCCTTTTTGCAACGGATAAAGGGGAAGGGAAGATGCACGAATTCCTAACTCAAGGAAAATGCCGAAGCCTGGCCTCAGGAACCTCCCTTCAGTACTCGGTAACTGTCCATACCGTGCCGCCCACAAGAAGGGCCTTGCGATGCCATGGCCCCTGTCAGGTTTGCAAGTCTGTGTTCCAACGGTCTGTGGCAAACCTCACCTGTGCCGACCGAGATGGAGAGGAGCAGCCTCCTGACATACTCATGCTTTTGCACCCCACATGTGGTCCCCAAGTCATCGGAGGTTCTGGCCACTTGTGATTGAAACTTGTGACCCGGTAGTTGTTTGTTGGCCTAACGAGTCGAGGGGGAAAAGGCCTCGTGCGACAGTGTCGTTTCAGCAGCCCCTTCGCCCCTTCAGGATTCCATCTTCAAGAGGTACACGAGAGGCTTGGCGCAGCGGAAGGGCTTTGTCGGCAACGTGAGCCGCTGCTCGGACTTCGCAGTGCCGGTGGTCATCGATGGAAGTCCCTTCAACTTCTGCACGCAGAGCTCCGAGCTTCGAAAGATGGGCTTTCAGTCTGCTGAGCTCCTCAGCTCAGTGCTGAGTGCACCCGGTGTAGAGCCAAAGTAAGTACATGTGAATCTAGATGCTTGGAGGTATGTATTTGGAATGCAGACGCCCATATCGCTCAACGAATGCCAGCACCAACGATCCTACCGCGCTTCCGGTTCTCTCGGTTCTCGCTTTCCCTCCGACCCCGGCCCCCAACCTGTGGTCTCTCGACCGCCTCAGGTTGCTTTGTCCCGAGACCTGCGCTTGCTCCTCCTCACCGAGCTTGGAGTGTCCGACGTCGTGCCGATGAAGCGAAGCGGTGGGACACACGGGACTCGGGCGCCAGAAAGCCATGCATGGGAATTCAGTGTCCATGAAAGGACTGCCTTGGCACAGGGTTCTTGTACTTGGCCAGACCTTGTGCATTGCCCATTGGCTCCACAAAGTGGGGGCCACGGGTGCTGTCAATGACCGAAGCAGAAGCTTCAGCTTCTTTGAAAGCCAATGGGCGAGAATCTCCCCGTTGTTGGGCTCCTGTGAGCTGAATATGGTGTGAAGCAGGGAGGCACTGTTTGATATCCTCAGTTTTTGTACTGAGACGCTACGATTTCTTCAGCCGTCCGCATTCCTGCACTGGCCTTGACCACAAGCCGTGTCCTGCAGTCCTCCTTGCCAGGCTCATCGGGATTCACTTCTGGCAGAGTTCTGGCCTCAGAGGCTTTTTGTAGAACCTAGGGCCTACAGACAGATAAAGCCTGACATGGGCTCTCGGGAAGAAGGTGCTTTTGTGGTCATTTTCCAGTTCAGTGTAGGCCCACTCCTATCTGCCGCACTTTTCTAGGCTGAATGGCAATGCCGCAGGCTCCGCAGTGACAGGCCTGGCGGCCTGCGCCCATGGGATGGGCCAACCCCAAAAAGAACGCTCAACGTGTGTCACAAACCGTTAGGGGAAGGCGTCTGTGAGACGACTCGACGAAGCATGCCCGCCAGAGTTCGAGAGAGAGAGGGTGTCACTTTGTGTCGCGACGTCTTTGGTCAGGCGACGTGGACGTTTTAGAGCTCCAGGAGTTGCAAGCAAAGGTGCTACTGCTGGAAGCGGGCCGAGAAGAGGTAGAGCTCCAGGTCGGACACGGTATTTTGTTTCGATTGTTGAGATGGAGATTGAATGGAATGGAGTTGATGTGTTGGAGTAGCCATGACCTCAACGAGTGTTGAGGCTGAGTTGATGCGCACGAAGTATGCAGCGCTGGAAGCGGAACATCAGGACTGTTTGTGCTTTATTTGTTCAATTCTTTTCACATTGCGTTGGCAGAAGCGGGTTGTGACTTTTGCCCGAAGACACGAAGACACGCGAAGACACGAAGACACGAAGATACGCGAAGACACGAAGAGGCTTCAGGTCTTCAAGGCTTCAGGTCGTCACTAGGCTTCAGGTCT